TGATGAAAGCTGATTATGATTTATTGCCCTGCTTATCTTCTGCTCCCTCTCAGCACACTTGTCACTGTGGATTATACTTGTTTGTTCCTCTTGTCCTATCTACGTGTAACGGAGAGTGGAATTAGGCTTGCTCTATTTATATCTGATGGAAGGTGGATGAATTTCTTTGGGCTGTTGTGGATTATTAAAAATCTTAGGATTCCCCCCTGCACTTTAGGGCTAGTCTAGGGGGGCAAATATACATGATCTTAACTGCATCACCTTTGAGTACTAAGCTGCAGGCTGAACTAGACATGATTGCAAATGCTCCACTTGAAGTTGCTTTGTTTTTAAACTGTAAATAGCTGCTGAGGGTGTGTACGGAGCCAGGGCTGATCAGGATTGTAACTGGGGCACACAGGGAGAGATAAAGGTAAAAGTAAAGGTTTCCCCTTGAAACTGAGTTCAGCCATGCCTGACTCTAGGGGGCGGTGCTCACCTCCATTTCCTGGCCGAGGGAGCCAGCGTTTGTCCGCAGACAGTCTCTGTGGTCATGTGGCCGGCATGACTAAACACTGAAGTGCATGGAACGCTGTTACCTGCCCACCGAAGTGGTACCTTTTCATCTACTTGCATTTGCAGGCTTTCGAACTGCAAGGCTGGCAGGAGCTGGGACGGAGCAACGGGAACTCACCCCGTTGTGTAGATTCGAACCAGTGACTTTTCAATCAACCAGCCCAGCAGCACAGCGGTTTAAACCACTGCACCACCTGCATCTCTCAGGGAGAGATAGGTCCAGACTTTTCTCCCATGTTTGCCATGACGACATATTCCCTCAAGCATTGACAGGAGAACTGCCTACGGCTGTCCTAGGAGTCTCCATCTCAAGCGACGCAACAGCTGCAGGGAGGTGATGCTTGTTGGAGCCACAATGCATACCTGCTGTTCAGAGCTAGCTGGAAAAGTAGGCCTACTTGGGTTCCTGCTGAGAATGCCACTGTAGCAAGAGCCCCATGATGGTTCCTCTTTCCCACTGCATCTTGCTTGTCCATATGCATCTCACTCGGACCCAGGCAAGGACGGTTGTGAGAAGTAGCAGCAGGAGAAGTCCTGGCCTCCTTGCTCACTGGCTGCTTGTCTGCCAGGTAAAAAAGTGGTCGTGGTGATAAGAAAGCAGAGGAAGAGCAGGGACTTCTGGTGACAGTGGTGGCACCAAGGGGGACTCACGGAGGCAGGGGGCCTAAGAGGGAGACTTGCAAACCCTGGAATTGGCATTGCTGGTGTTTTGAGTGTGTCACATAGTTATTTCTGGTCATCCCTCTCCAATCTGGTGCCCATCAGGGATTTTAGACTACTTTATATGATGGGTGTTGTAGTCTAAAGTCAAATATTTGCTATCAGAAATTATCCTGAAAATTGTTTTGGAGATTTTTTTTTGCTAAATATTCACTGGTTCTTTTCTGAATATTTGCCAAATTTCCATGGAGTATTCAATCCTAACATTTGACATTCAATACAATTGAATAAGGGAGAAACCTGCAGGCTTCCAACAAACCTGCTGTTTAGCTGCAATTCCCATCATCCTGATCATGTTGCCTGGGTCTGAAGACTATCTAGAGGGCCATCCCAGCTTTAGCCACTGTTCCTCCCCATCATCCTGCCTCCTCCCTGCCTCCAAAAACACACAATCCTTTCCAGAGCAGTTGCCCCCATGAGCCTCTACCCATCAGTTGCCTGCCTCATCGAAAACAGAAAGGCAGGTCATCCAGGGCAGGGGACACCAGTGCCTCCTATACCAGTGGGGCTCCTTATCCATTGCAGCTTTGATTTTGAGCTTTATGGGAGTCACCATGTTGGTGAACCTATTTTGTGCACTGAATTCAGCACCATGGATACTGCCTCTGAAGCTGATACATATAAGGGCTCTGCTCAAGCAGGGTAGAATTGTTATCCCTCTGTGCAGATGAGGGAATGTGAGATGGAGGACAGTGACTTACAGAAGGTCATTTTTGTGAACTCATGATGAGCTGACATTTGAACTGGGGACATTACAGCTTGTGCCCTTGGCTACTAGGGTCCACCCAGTCCATTGCAATGAAAACACAAGCTGCTCCCATTATAGTGTGCGATGAGGGATGCCCCATGCAATCATTGCTGGAAATGGACTGGAATTGCACATAGAAGGACCTGAGACAAATGGAGGACTTTTAATGTACACATCCTAGCAGTAGCCCTCTTTCTTCACTGTTTAAAAAAAATCCCACCTGTTAGAAGTGTAGTGCTGTTGGTGGCTCTTCAAAAAGTGACTGTCAGTTATTTTAGACAGCTCGTGGATGTGTTTGCTCTTACATAACCTCTTGCTGTTGAGTGCATTCAAAGTCTTTCCCGCTGTGACTGTTGGGAAGGGCTGGTATTCAGGACTCCATCATAACTAAAGTGAGGCATGGAGAAATGGAGACGCCCATGTTCCAACGCAAAGTGAAAGAAACAGTTTCATCTCCATCCATGGGCCACTTCTTATATTGTGCATCTAGCAGGGAGCTGCATCTAGTCATGTCTCCCTGATGATCTGGCCCATACCTATTTCACACCCTTGAGTGTCCTTGGTGCTAATGGAAAGGATTCACCCCCCTAGTTGTCTTAACTGCAATATAGGGGTTGTTTTTCAAGGGGGATGGTAGTTGGAAGGGTTAACTCTCCTTTTCCCTCAGGTTGCAGATTATCTTGCCCTAAATTCTTCCCTCATGTGGCAATTAAGCTAAAGAAAAAAAAAATCCACTAATTTAAGATGGTGTGGGTCAATTAATTAAAGATTTGATTTAATCCTGTTCCAGACTGAGTCCTCGGGGAGAACTGGGAAAGATGGCAGGACCATGGAGAGCTCCATGTGGAGCTGGGAAAAATTCCGCAGGGGTGCAGGCGCCCAGGAGCAGTAGCTGGGGATGTTGCTCCAGCAAAGGACTGGAGCCAACGGAGGGCTTGCAGAGGCAGTAACCAGTTCCACCTCCACCCTTTGGGGAAGCGCCAGTACTTAGAAGGCCAATGCTTGATTCATTTGTGTATGTGCCCATGTGTGTGTTTGGTGGTTCTGCCCAGCTGAGGATTCGGAGATGAAGACTTCAGAGTGTTGGGAGGACAACATAATATCCTTAGTCTTACGAAGTTAATAGTATTAGTGCTGGTCTCTGGATTCTCTTCCTGTGCAGATTTCTGGTCGAGTGGTGCCTTTTTCTGAGGACTGTTCCTGAACCTAGACTTCCCCCCTTCTTGGTGCCCTTTGATCCTTCACCTGAGCTTCTTCCCTAAGAACATAAGAAAAGCCATGCTGGATCAGGCCAAGGGTCCATCCAGTCCAACACGCCTTTCACGTGGTAGCTGCCCACAGGTTCCGTCCAGCAGGATGGGTACAAGAGCTCCACCTGCCTCAGCTCCTCAGCCACTAGTGTGTGCAAGCAAGCCATCTCTCCTAATACACAGTAACAATGCTAGTAGCCCTTCATAGCCTTCTCCTCCATGCTGTTGTTAAGTTTATTTGGTGGCCTTCACTGCTTCCTGTTGGAGTGAATTCCATAGTTTCACTAGGTGCTGTGTGAAGGAGGCCTTCCCTGTATCTGTCCTGAATCTCCCACCCAGTTTCAAGACCTGACCCTGGGTTTTACAGGAGTACTCTCGCAAGACCATAACTCTGTTATCAGGAGATGGCAGGGCTGCAACCATTTCCCTGACTTTATATTTGTGTCGCAGAACACATCCCAGTATTTTATTTTGCACCAGCACTGGATGGGCCCAGTTCCATTGTCAACAGTGTCCACCAAACTTAGAACTACTAATTAGAGGCTTCTTGCCATTTGCCTGTGGTCTTTACAGCTGTTCTCCGGTTGCTATAGAGCGATACATGGTCCAGGCGATGCAAGATGTCTTTTTCAGAAGCCCTTGTGAACAACAAGGAAGAATCTGTTCAGACAGGAAAAATAGTCTACCACGAACAATATCAGATTTCTTTCCCCAGATGTTGCTACGTCATTTCTTGCCATTGACAACTGATCTCCATCATGCCAATGTTAGGGATCCTTTTCCAACCTTACTAAATCACTGTCCAAAATGTTTGTAGGAAAAATAATGTAAGGGCTGCTTTGTCTTATGCTTGGTGAATGACTGTTAGGTTTTGCTGGCTGAATTCCAGGACTCCCTATCCTTTATTGAGGAAAATGGCAGGAATAATATGGCTCGACTGGGTCTGAAGGACCTTTCCATTCCATCCCTGTAGCAACCAGGCACTGAATATAGGATTGGGACACAACTCAGAAGAATCTGTCCCTCCAGCCTTCGTAGACTTCCTCTCATGTGGGCTTAGAAAGAGAGTAGAGCTGAGAGGAGGTTCAGGAACACTTGCAGAACCAAGGTTGGACAATCAGCAAACTTCTTCCACATTCTGTGCAGCAGCACAAGGAGGTAGCTGCACGTGGCTTGGTAGAGGGATGCCCCTCATGGAATACTTGACAGTCTCACCAGGAACTCAGACCCATGGCCCCAAGGAAGTAGGCTGGAGTCCAGGGAGCTCAGCACAAGGAACCCAATGCATTCCCACCCCCAAAACAAATTCCTCATACATCCCCAGCTGAGAATGCAGCAATCAGGGCTCAGAAGTCCGTCTAGCTCAACATATGACAAAGGAAGGCAGAGTAGAGGTAGAACCCTCTTCACTCCCCCATCCTGCCAGGCTCTGTCCAGTCACATTTGGTTCGATCCCTCCACCAAATAAGTATCGATCCTGCAGGATTGTTCTCTAGAATAATATTTTACGGCCCCGTGAGCAGTTTGTTTGGAACATAAGAATATGTATTCTTGGATGAGACTAATGATCCATCTCATCCAACGTTCCCTTTTCCACAGCAACCAGCCACTGGAAATTCACCAAGAGTGCCTGATGGCAATAGTAATCCTGCTGGGAGGGAAGCCTTTGTTTGGCAGAGAAGAACTGTGATTTGACATGAAAGGTACCAGCCCATCTGCTGGGGCAGTGCAGGCAGTCATCCCCGTGGCTGTTCTTGGTCTTCCTAAAAATCCTGGATTTCGGATCTTCATTTGGAGGTTGGATTCCAACCAGTGAGATTTAAAATTTGGTTCTGTGCCTTGAACTTTGGGATGCACTGCTTTGACATTACATGGGGGGGTGTTGTCAAGTACATATTGATACCTATATTTCTGCATGGATGAAGCAGTTTTTGGAACAAGAACTATGCACTGGCTTTCCCCTATGGTCTCCATAATGATGGAGGCTAATCAGGCGAAAAATTTACTGTCTCAACTAATTAGGGGGTTAGATGTCCAAGAATGCAATCTCTAGCTCATAAAACCTATCCCCTGTTATTTTAGGGACTGAAGTAGCAAAATTATTATGGTTAAATCTTCCTAAATCTAAATGCCCCATAACATTAACTAAATTCAATGTTTTACCCTCCACATTGTTTCAAAGAAGATTTCTTTCCTTTCGCTGAACATTTATATTCTTCTGCAATTTGAGAGGTTGAGTCTACTACCTATTCTATGCAGGTATCAGACTTAAATTATGATTTGAGTTAAGAAATGTTTTGAATGAGCTAGTTGTGTAAAATTTACCTAAATAACAGATTGAGGGTTTGGCATTTGGGAAAAGGTTTTCCAACAAGCGTAAGACTGGAGAAATGATGGTGGGTTGCTTTCAGTCTGGGGTGTAGTTGTATTTATGGTGGTTTAGGACAGCAATAAATATTTGATTCTGTTAGTGGAATGGATGCCAAACTCAGTACAGGATGCGGAAGCTTTCAAAACGAAGCTTTTAGCAGGTGCACCAAGGAGGTGATTCTGACAGGAGCTGCTGCTCCAACGATGGAGCTGCAGCCGTGGGTGAAGTGGCGTGTGTGGCCGTGCTCCCTTCTGTTCCACTGTAAGCACAGACATCCTGTACTGCCCTGATTGGGCAAGCCCAGCCAAAGCTGTCATTTGCAAAGCCGCATGCAGGTCTCCGTATGGAGGTGGAATCAGCACCCTGCCTCCACGGCTCCTCTTCAATTGGAGCTGGAAGGCTGCCAAAAGAAATTCTGCAATCTTCGTCAGGTTGCATAACTGATAGGTCATAGGCTCCAAGCTTCCACAGCACAGAATTTAGGGTGGTGGTGCAGAATGGGCTTTTCTTATGTTAAAACTCACCTTCAGATGGGACAGACTGCAACTTCCACTTCTCTCAAGGTTTGTGAGAACTTCTGTGTAACACATCTGGAAGCAGCTGTCTGGGGAAGGCTGGGTCACCTTGGGAAATTTCCTTAGCATAAGGCCCTGGTAGAAAGGGTCAGACCAGGGATGTGCAACTTGTGGTCATCCCTCTGCTTCGACCTACAAGTCCCATCAACCTTATCCACCCTGACCATATCCACAAGTTGCTCATGCTGGTTAAGCGGATGGCTCTGAGAGAGAGAGAGAGAGAGAGAGAGAGAGAGAGAGAGAGAG